TCTGATATATATATAGAAAGACAGAGAGAGCTCTGTGTAGGAAGCTACTGAAAGGAGCATTATAAATGAGCAAGATTTCCATTCAAACACTCACTTACGAACTCATCACCTAAGCCACTTTTCCTCCTGGGTTGCAGGGGGTGCTGGAGCCTCCTTGGGCAGAAGGCAAGAAACACCTTGGACAGTTCGCCAGTCCATCACAGTCCAACAGAAAATGCAAACTAATCAGTATTTTCATCAAATACTACTTTCAATAAGACTATCTATATAAATGGTTTTATCAGTGGTTAAAATGATTATAAATTATGTGATCAATCACTTATAAGTAGTTAGAACCAGCATTCAAAATACCACCTGGTATTCAGGGGGCCCCATGTTGTCTGGCTACTCCAGCATTGGCTGGTTGCTAACTAACTCACCATAGTAGAGCTGATGCTACCAACAGCAACAAAATGTTCGATTAAACAATTCTTCTTCTAGGTTGGTAATGCAGCTTTCCACACATTAACTAAGGTCTTACACATCTGCTCTTCTGTATTCGGTCTGAAAAATGAGTTCAGTGATGAATGAATTCACTCTTTCCACCAATCTCTTGGGAAATTGGGCATTTTCAGATTTACAAATATGCTGCAGCATATTTCAGAGGTATCCTGGGCATAGGTACAATTGCTAGGATATGAAGGACTAACTGGGTGAGCCAATTTGCAACAGCGCCACCCTGAGGCAGAGCAGAGCTGCATCCCTAGTTAGTTAAGAATACCAAAAACAGAAGCTCATTGATTGTGGGTAAAGCAGATAAACAATGATCGTTCCCTGAATTTGAATATGAGCATCTATGAGGTGTAAAAGCATGCCGCCACTGGACACTGGAGTAGTGTAGACGTATTGTGTGGAGTGACGAATCACAGTGAAGGGAAATCTTAATGCTTCAGTAGATCAAGACATTTTGGACAATTGTATGCTACCAACTTTATGGGAACAGTTTGGGAAAGAACCTTTTCTGTTCCAGCATGACTGAGCCCCAGTGCACAAAGCAAGGTCCATAAAGCCATGGCTGGGTGAGTTTGGTATGGAAGAACTTGACTGGCCTGCACAGAGCCCTGACCTCAACCCCATCAAACACCTTTGGGATGAACTAGAACAAAGATTGTAAGCCAGGCCCTCTTGTCAAACGTCCATGTCTGACCTCACAAATGCTCTTCTGGATTAATGGGCAAGAATAACCACAGACACACTCCACAATCTTGTAGAAAGCTTCCCAGACTAATGGAATTTGTTATAGCTGCAAAGTGGGACCAACTCCATATTACTGAATTTAGAATGGGATGTCATAAAAGCTCCAGTAGGTGTAATGTGTAGGTGTCCCAATACCTTTGTCCAAATAGTGTAAATAAAAAGAGCTGTTGAGCTGTTGCTTGCCAAATAGTGAGCCAACATTAATAATATTAACCTCAGATCTTGCTTGGTATTTATCTTAGATTGTCTTTGTTCATGGTGGAACAATACATGTATCATGTTGTGAGGCAAAATAGTCCCCAAAGAAAATTTAATTTTTCAGATTTACCACTAATTTTGTCATTATTAACATTACCTATAAAACTCATATCATGATATCATGACCCTTGGTTCCTATCACCACCACTGTAAGAAAATCCAAATTTAGTATGTACGTTTGTCTCAGTTAACCTTTTTTATTATTAAAGTTGTCATAGAATGGAAAGCTGTATTTACATTGCCATAGTTGAGGAGGGAGAGTTTCGTGTGTGGAACTGATGTGCTGAGAACCTTAAACACTGTTGCTTCCTTTAAGTACAAATCTTGCATTTGCAAAATAGTGCAGTAAAACAGGCCAATTCCAAAATCCTAAACTGTCTTGTAACAGTCTTGACACATGAATGTTTATGCTCCCAAAATGTACATACACCAGCCCACATTCTAGCCCAACAGGAAACAACAAGGACTGAGCAACAGCAATGGAAATGATGGACTATTTGAAGAAACTGTACCGTTCTAGGGGGTGAAGGAAAGTCCGAAATTTTCATACCCTTCCCAAGGAACCAAGCTCTCAACAGGCATGGCTGATGTTCGTCTTTAAATGAGGCTGAAGTTGTCTTCTGTTTCGCCAGCTTCTTAATCAAATGTTCTATGTCCACCTTAAATGCTACAGCTTGCACAGGCGACATAATGTAACTGTGGCACCATTTAAGGTGGAACAAGCTGGTGAATAGGAAGCCAACTTCAGCTCCCACATCTTTAGCAGGATACTGGACAACTTTAATTCAAATAGTTTGCTCTACACATTTCACTCTGTGTAGTTTCTCAAACTCTGGACAGTATGGAGCAGGCTTCACTCAGTATTTGGCACAGTTCCAACTTTATTAGCATCACAACACCAACTGCAACCTGTAAGTAGCCAAGTAGCCATGCTGTGTGATTTTATCCACTTTTTGAAGATTGAAGCCTTAAATCTTAAAGCAGTCTTAAATTGAAAGTTTCATAGTGAGCTAACAACTGTAACTTTGTGTTGCTGTCAAGATCAAAAGCAAGTAGCTAGTACAGGTAACGTTATCTACCAGCAAACTCCAAGTAACTAGCATAGCTAACTGAATAGTAGGGAGGGGGGCGGTCAAGGAGTGAAATGAGTCGCCAAATCTACTTCAGCAACATCTGAAACGAGGAGTTATACATTCCCTTTTTGAATGGAGCGATCAGTGATCTGTTCTCCTGTGACCAAGTGTGAGTGACGAGATAAGTGGCATAACTGTACTGGCTTAGAGTGAACTAACCTCTTTCCTTACATTCTAACAGGATTTAGCAGAGTTTAATTACGTCTGTTCCACACAACTACAGCGCTGTTAAAGTGCCAAACAGTCATATTTTAGTATTAGTGCATCCCCAAGAAAGAAAAGAGAAAGAAAGAAGTGGGTTCATGCAAGTTACAGCCCTGATTTAAACAAAAGTAAACTGAGGATTCTGTGTGTGGGGCGTTGTCCAGTGTGAGAATCACACTGCAGTTAATGCTTTTACACAGTGAGCGTCAGATATATTACAGTTCACCCCTCAAATTCTCAAACTACTATGATAGAACAGAGAAACCCAGTTATCTGCTAGCTGGTGTTTGAATACTGTGATGTGCTCTGATATGGATGTGGTAGGAGTGATGGCAGTAAGGCAGTGTGATCCATCATTGGCGTACCGAGCGAGCTAATGTTTGCTGTTTGTACTAAGTTGATGTTGTTTAGAAACTAAACAGTTTAGCACTTGTAACCAGATAGCCTAGCACTCGTCACCAGACAGCTAAAATAATCTGTTTTCTTTCTTAAGTTATGAACATTACAAAAACTGCGGCCGTGCTTTTCTACCTGGCACAAACAGCCAACCAGAAACTTTCTCCCACTCTCCCATTACAGATCTGTGAAATGTTCCACTGTTTGGTGAGTGTTTGTTCTGACCATAAAGAACAGTTTGAAACAGCAACTGACCGCTCAGGAGCAAAAATCAGCCTTCAAACTTGCAAGAAATTGATTTGACATGTATTTATATATGTATTGATATCGAGTGATATGAATTCTTTTATCATGATAACATTTTTGGCCGTATTGCCCAGCTCTATCTGGCAAGCAACAAAGTCACTGTTGCCCTTTTTATTTATGTTAGAACTGCTAATTAATGATTTTTAAGGCATTTATGACCCAGTTTATAGCCATTAACAAACTACTTTTGAACCATTCATAAACCTTTCATGAGGATTACTGTAAAATGGTAGGCAACCTCCTGAAGACGACTTCACAAGCTTGCACTTCACAGTGTGCATGGAGGGATCTGAACCTTTATTAGCTGTAAGTTAAGTAGTTTTATAGTCCTCTGTGAATTGTACATGATTATGTGTGACTGTAGTCGTAACAGGTTCAGAGATGCAGAGCGCTGTGGGTAGTGTTCCATTTAATGAGGGCTGAAGTCTTTGTATAAAACCATTTCCAAGGAATATGTGGACCTAACAGGAAGCTTTTTAGCACAGAATAAATTAGTGTCATTATCTTTTGAATTACTAATAAAACAACCTCACACTGGACAACAGAAACTCTTTGTAAAGTTTATTCTGAGGGTAAAAGTGAGATGATGACAAAACAACAGCAGACATTTTATTCAACGGCAGTCAGAGCTGATACATTTAAATCTGTTTGGCACAGTTTAATTTAGTTGAAAAAACACAGTGTCTCAATATTTATATACAGAGTTCAGCAAAAATTATTCTCCACCAAGAAACGTCTCACCCTTCTACACATTAGACAGATGACCTACAGACAAAATGTCTAAGCTACTCATCATAGCAATAATGGCTCGGTTTCTGTTTTGTGTAAAGCATTTTCAAACATGAACCAAAATGATAACAAAATAAAACAAAATACAAGAAGAAAACATCTTCAGTGTACAGTTAAAGAGTTGTTATTGACACTGACACAGGTGTTGAGTTCTTTTTCAGAAGTGAAAAATTAAAAGGAGCTGATAAAGAATAATCAGCATGTAAGTTGAATCATTAATCAGGAATAACAATCATTAAGCATGATACAGACAACCATAGTGTAAAAAAAGAACACTATTTAAAACAGTCCTAAATGGTTGAAAAGCTAAGTCATTGCTTCATTGGCTGTTAAAAACAGAAGAGGATAAATGAAGTTGCATCACCGACTGAAGCTCAACATGCTTATAAAAAAGCAAACAGAACTTTGTACAGTCACTCATACACTGTTAGAAATAAAGATACTGTGCAGGTACATCTTTTGTTCATCAAGGTACAAACAATATAAATGTACCCTCAAAAGTACAACAGTGGTTTAAAGTTTTTCCCAGGTGAAAAGAACATATTTGCACATTTTCATAACCTAATGTTTTAAAACAGAACAATGATAAAGAGGATTGGAGGTGAGACGGGGTGTGTGGAGTTAATACTACTAACAAATATAATTTCAGTGGATTTTGATACAGTTATGTTCCCTGACTAAAGGTACTGAGATGTACGCTTGAGGGTCCCACCCCAGTGACAAGAGGGGAACTGCCCCACTGACAGTTTAATACCTTTTTTTCTGAGAAGTGTAACGGAAATCACAATGATACATTGTAACATTATTAGGAGGTACAATAAATATATTTATCTGTTAAAATCAGTATTTAGTGTCTCCAATTAAAACGTATTTACTTTTGGCTAAATATAATAAAAATATGAAGCACTGTTTGTGTAACAAACAAACCAGCAAGGACTACAACTTTGACAATGAAGAACGACATAGTGAAGACGTCACCTGCATGGAAAATAAATGAATAAATGCATAAATAAATACATACATACATACATTTTATGCATCATGCCTGCTTAGATTCTAATCTATGTATTAGATTCTATCAATGAATATGAAGTTACATTTTGTTTTTCCAAAAGCAGAAACTTTATTTACCTTTTTCAGTAGATTCAGCTTCATGTTCATGATGAGATTTTCCTGATCCATGTCTGATCCAGTACACACTGTGTTCTCCTGAACAGTTCAGAGTAACTGCTTGTACTGAACACTGGAGTTTAACAGGTTCTTCATTCTTGATAGCAGATTCAGGTGGAGGATGATGGTCAGTCTTCTCATCTTTAAAATAGATCAGTAAATGTAGAAGGTAAAGAGAAATGGTCCGGGTATCTTCTGTTCATTTGAGTTTCATTTAAAAAAACAATATTGAAAAATGGCAAAAGGGTCGATTCTCGTTTCTGGTTCAGTTATTTTCAGTTAATTTCACAAATTAATCATAAAATCAAATAACAAACAAACAGCAATGGAATAAAGGCTCGTATTCTAATGATCCAAATGTAGAATTTCCCATTATAAGCGGAAATAAAGGTGCAGAGCAGGTATGGAAGTTTAGAATCCACAGAAATCAGGCCTGTGGTTCTGTATTTAGTCGGCTATGTTACTTTCTGTATAAGTGTTTGTATATTTGACCTCCACAAACTGTATAAGAAAGAAACGATATAGGGAAGAACCTGAACTCCCACCATTTGACGGGGGCTTCGTGCTCCCCAGATCAGCTGCTGACGCGCTCAAGTTCAAGAAGTGTTCTGTCGGTGTTGTGCTGAACTCCTCCTATGCGTGCGCGCGCATCATACAGGCATATGGACACTAGATTACATTCTGTTTTTCAGTCATAATGACCAGTACTGTAGCCTCTTGGTGAAGGAGACTCAGGAGAGGCTGTCATTCTGCTAGAGAAGCGCTCTTTATTGACCCCTGCAGAAAAGGCTCATACAGGGCAGCCCGTTAGCACTGAAGGTCACCTCCGCTCCCTCCAACTAACTAAACACGCACCCAGGCGCGGTGCCAGGTGGTGCTGAAGCCCCCTCAAAATCGTTCAGCGCCCACGTTATCAACCCTGATAAATGTTGAATTCCCTTGTTTGATTCAGACCCCCGGCGCAGCTCTAACGCCCCTCTAAAGCTCCTTTCCCCCAAAACCGGAGGCGCCGCCGCCGCATGATTAGAAGACCACTATGAACTCAGAGCAGCGCGCGTGGCGGGAGTCGTGTCGCATGTCAGCGCAGTTTGTTGCTAATAGAACAAAGTCAATAAACACATATAAAACGATATAAAGCCTCCCATAATGCCACATCTAGACTGACCTTCTCACCACTCATGCTCGATCTTTCCCGGCCTCATCATTTTTAAACGCGACCACCTGATTTCTGAGCTCCTGCGATCATGGGGGGCACTCAGCCCGTTTATTCATCATTAATCTGAATCAGTAAATCGACCCTTTATTCCACTGCTGTTTGTTTGTTGTTTGAATGTTTGATTAGTTTGTGAAATTGTAAAATGAAGCTATTTCTAGTTTTTCGACGGACAAGAAGAATCAAAAACGAGAATCGACCCATTTGCCGTTTTTCAATACTGGATTTTGAAATGAAAATCAAATGAACAGAAATAATGCTGATATCAATAAACAGTACAAAACAACAACAACAACAACAATTACAGCGAATGTGTGAACACAGTTACCTGCAAACAGCAAAAGGGTTCCAGATATAAACTCTACAGTATTTGTCTGTCCTTTTCCACAGAAATATATTCCTATATCTTCTTCTTTGACTCCATTAATGCTGAGATCAAACGTCTCCATATTCAAAGTGAAGCGGCTGTTACTAAATCTGTAGTTTACTGTTTCAGTCACAAGTGGTCTCACGATGTACTGAGGCAGTTTTCCTAAACTCTGTTGATACCAAACTAATAAATCATCTTTGGCTGCTTTTTGGTCACATTTTATTGTCGTGTTGTCTCCCCGCCTCACTGTTTGTACTTGAAGATCAAGGATGTCAGACGTTTTCACTGAAGAAGAAAAATCATAATAAAGCAGTTATTTATAATAATATGCAAAGGTTTGTATGATTCTGATCAAATTACATGTTTTAATGCACAATTACTGTTTGATGCTGAATTTAACATACTGTATGCAAACGTTATGTCACATTTTGTATTTTTTTTTCAATATATTAAACTCCTTTGTGCACTAAAAGTTGCAGAAAAATGCCATATTTAAGTTTTTCCCTTGTAGAAAATGTGTTACTTATTTTCCTTTAGGAAATCAACAAAACATGTAATTTGACTGGAGGTGTTCAAACTTTTACATGCGACTGTACATGTAGCAGCTTGATAACATGTTAGTGATATAAACATATTAACCATTCAAAACATCACTTACCAGTTACAAAGAGGCAAAGAGTGAAAAGTAATCCGATCATTGTTGCTGTTTAGACAGAGAGACAGTGAGATCTAATGTTCTGATCTCTTATCTGTTCAGTAGTAAAAGAGGCCCCATGTGTGACCTGAATGGACGTTTTAGAGCTGTGAGCTGTTTTGATTGGTCTGATAGTTTTGAGGAAATATCACGTGGCGAGTGCTATTTCAGACCAGAAATAGTTTAACAGCTGATGGAAACAGCTTTGCTATTTAAAGAATGAAACTGAGGTTAAAGAGAATGAAGCAGAAAAGCCTTTTCTAATTTGCGTCTGTGATGATTCTGTATCTGATTAGAATGTAATATAGATTTATACATTAAACATTACAGTTCAGATCTGAGGGTCAGATGTACCAACAAGTGCAGACGCAGCATCAGGGCCAGATATTCATGTTTCAAAATGGGGGAATTCCCCCCTTAAATGTTTCATAAAGGGGGATTTATACACTTTGGGGGGATTCTACTTGTGAGCTTAGCTATAAGTCTTACCTTGTCCCGTTCTTTTTGAAAGCTTTCTGAAAGAAGGACACTCCATCTCTTTCATGAATTTAACCAGATGACCAAATTTTGAAGTAGCCCATTTGTTTTGTTTTGTTTTGAGAAGCCCCTTCCTTTCCTCCTCACACTGCAACCGTACAACTTGAATAGCATTAGCCTTCACATTCTTAGCTGAATCTGCCTCACGCTTTCTTTTCAAGGCTTTTCCAGTGCGTTGTCCAGAGCAGAAGTCGGTCCATTTGGCCAGTCGTCCCGAATTCCACACTGGTGCAAACGTTGGCTAAAAATGATTAAAAATCATTGTAAATATCTGCAGGAATTTCCAGCATTGTAAGTGTTAGATTTGCAGGAATCAATGAAATTATGATCAGTACCTTTAATCTCGCACTGAAAAAAAGTAGTCAGTGGTTTGTAGTATGTGACCAACATGAATTTCTTAGGTACTGGCCTAAAAATGTGTTTATTTATTGTTCTGCTGCTGCACTCATTGCATTGCTTGCCCTGCTGATCTTGAGATGCTTTTGATTACATCTATTACAATTTTGTGCCTAGATAACATGGTTAAAACAGTAACTGACTTAAGTTGTTCTCAAGATATAAAGAAGCTGAATAGCGACTGCAAGTGAATAGTGCTGCAAGTACAGTACTCAGCTTTTGTCTTATACTAAAACTCTGTTTCCAAAAAAGTTGGGATGCTGTGGAAAATGTAAAAACAGAGTGCAACAATGTGCAAATCATTTAAACCCTATTTATAATTTAAAGTAGTACAAAAACAACATCAAAGTTTACAACTAAGAAATGTTATTATTTTTGGAAAAATACATTCCCATTTTGAATTTGAGGCCAGCAACATGTTTGAAAAAAGTTGGGACAGAGCATGTTTACCACTGTGTCCCATCACCTCTTCTTTTAACAACATCCTCTGTTTGGGGACAAAAAGTGTTTGGGAACTGAGGAGACGAATTGCTCTAGTTTTGAAAGTGAAATGTTTTCACATCCTTGCTTGAAATAAGATTTCAGCTGCTCAACAGTTCAGAGTCTACTGTGTCAAATTTTTTGTTTCATAATGTGTAAAATATTTTCAATGGGTGACAGGTCTGGACTGCAGGCAGGCAGTGGTTTGACTTGCTAAAGTAAGTAAGGCCTTCGCTGAAAAAGACTTTCTCTGTATGACAGCATACATTGCTCTAAAAACCTGTATATATCATTCAGCATTCATGACGACTTCACAGATGTGCAATTCACCCTTGCTATATGCACTAATACACCCCCATACCATCACGGATGCTTTTGAACTGTGTGTTTATAACAAGCTGGAGGGTCCCTCTCCTCTTTAGTCCAGAGGACGTGGCATCCATGACACTTTTTCACTTCATCTCAGTCCATCTTAAATGAGTTTAGGCCCAGAGAAGGCAGCGGCGTTTCTGGATCCTGTTTGTATGTGATTTCTTATTTGCTATGTGGATGCAGTGATGAACTGTATTCACAAACAGTGGTTTTTCGGAAGTGTTCCTGAGCCCATGCAGTGACTTCCAGTGCAGCAGTGTCCCTTGCATACAGAGATTGAGATTTTTTTTATATGAAATCTCGCAAGTTTTTTGCTATTTTACGTTGAGAAATGTAATTCTTGAATTGTTGCATTATTTCCCCACACAGTTTTTCACAGAGTAGAGAACCCCTCCCCATCTTTAATTCTGAAAGACTCAGCCTCTCTGTGATGCTCTTTTTATATCCAGTCATGTTACTGACCTGTTGCCAATTAACCTAATTAGTTGTGAGATGTTCCAGCGAGGGCCGGGAGACAACATGTGGATTGGGGCTCCATGGTGCAGGACTCCAGGGCTTCAGCTACCTGTGGACAGAGGCAGGGGCTCACCATCCCCCCAGATCCTCTCGGAAAACACAGCAGCAGCGGAAGTCTGGGCCAGCTGCTATTGTAGTGCCTCATGTTAGGGCACCAGGGTGCCTGCTGCCTGCTCCCAGAGCAAGGAGCCCACAGCTCCACCCCACATGTGTCCTGGGGCTCGCCACTCAAAGCCCAATACAGCAGACCAAGTGGGTCTAAGGCTGCGTTCACACAGCAGGTAAAAGTGGCCCAGATATGATATATATATATTTTTTTATATGTGACACACATGTTGTATCTGTGTGGCAGTGTGAACAGCAAAAACGCATAAAATCTGACATATTCAAAATTTCTGGTATGCAGCAACGTGACTCACGCTACATCTACACTGCTCCAGCCCATCAACGCACCGCAACATATTGCATTCGTGGGTTTCATCAGACACGGCCACATGGTACATGACAAGCCCGGTGTGTTGAGTCTGCGTTGAGTTGGTGCAGCTGGTGTTTGCGTGATTCATATCTGCAGCTAAAGGTATGAAACATTGATTTCGCTTCTCAAAGGTTCCCATGCAACAAGATATACCAGTGGCAAAAGCTAATATATTTAAATATAAATAGCAAAATTTATTTAAAAACACCTGTTTACCTCCAAAATTTAAAATCCGAATGGGAAAATGATCGGTTGGATGATAATAAACCAAAATGACTGATGTTGCCCACGAGGGTAATCAATGACCTGAATCCTAATCTTTCCAATTTAACTTAATTAATGTTCCGGCAAAAAAAAATATTAGCTTAATAATGCATAGTATGTTGACTTGCTGATTATTCAAAACAATACAAGTATTACTTATATTAATATTGACTTAGCAAGACTACATTTCAATGAGATTTCACAGGGCACTCCCTCGTAACACCCACATGCAACCAACTGAAGGCGGAGGACCCGTTTTCATCCGTCGAAGCGCTGGAGCAGTGTAAATGCAGCATAAATCTAGCCAGCCAGATTGGAATCCATGTGACTTTTCATCAGTCCAACTCTCCTCATAATTTCGTGCTGCTGAGACCTCAGAAACATTTGGGGTAAATGTTTCTGTACAAAAAGATTAGAAAAGCCCTCCATGTTCAAAGACATTTTGAAAGAAATGGCTGAAAGTGGCCGTAAGAGAACAAGGCTGCAGTTTCAAAGAACAGTTAAAACTCTGAAAGCAAAGTTTAAAGAGTAACTACACCCTAAGACCTTTTTTTCATTCACAGCTATAATGCATTGCCCTGTCATAATAAAATATACCAGCCTTACTTGAAATGTGAACACATCTTTACAAACTGTAAAAATAACATTTATAAAGTACCAAAGTACAATGACACATCACTGTATGCAGTCAACCAATGCTGCTGCCCCCTGTTGATGCCCTACTCATGCTGCACTCATAAATATGAAAGCATAGGAGCCTAGAGTGAGGAGATAACCACACTCACATGCTGATCTAAATACTCCCAGCACCACCTCTAAAAGTATGATATGCCAGATGTCTGTAAATAACCCAGTTAATCTAAGCTTAGTTTGTAATAAAGATGTTATGATTAGCGCATTTATTGCTAATCTTCAGCGGATGAGTAAGTAACCTGAAGGACAGATTAAGTGAGGATTCTTGCTCTCCATAAAGCTGCCGGTGTTGCATCCGATTTACGTTTCCCTTCACAAATCAAAGTCTTGGGCGTGTGCACTCACTGAATCTTTTCACTTTCCATTGTTCCACTGTTGCTTGCTGTTGATTTCTGTTCAGTGAGTGTTCACACCTGAGAGTTTAATTAATGATGGGAAATGTGAATTTGAGAGTGAATTGAATGGATGTAACACCAGTAAGTGCCATAAACAGCTTGCAGAACGTAAAGATTTAGGGCCACTGCAGCACACCCTGTCTGACCGGTGATGCAGTCTGAGACCCCATCCTGGTCACATCTGTGAACAACCTGTTTGGTATGATACAGTCTCCCTGTTGTACTTCTGTGCTTGGAATCTAACAGACACAATGCTAAAAGCTAGGTTGTGATGCTAGAGAACAGCTAGCATAAACTAACTAGCTTAGCCTACAAAGATTGGGTTAGCTTTTTTCTGCACTAACTTTTAACATACCTCAGCCACCACCCTACTGCATGTTCTCAACAAGTGAGAGATTTGTACAGTGCCCACAAGTTCATGTGTATGGAAGGAAACGGTTTTCTAATGGCCTGATAGAAGTGTGTTTTTCATAGCTTGTCTAAAGAAATTCACTTTATTAATTTGGGATTCAGTACATCTAAGAAATCAGGACTTGGGTTGTCTCGCATATGGACCTGCTGAACAGATCATTCTAAGCTAGCTGTCAAGGTTTTAGGGAATGTTCTACCATTCAGACGCGTCTCCCGCTCGCTGCTAATCATTTTCTGGTGTTAACTCTTCGGTGGCTTGAGTCAGTGGCTCAAACGGGTAAAGCTCAAGATGTACTGTCTGATCAGAAACACCTTCCCTCATTGAAGATGGGGATGGTAATGAAGAAAAAGCTTCTCATTAGAACTCGAAGTTGCAGAAGTGCTGTTTGATTCTGTTACTCTCCATATTTTTCAACAGCGTCAACCTTTCTCATATGTTCTGGTAGCTAACGCTAGCCAGAAAAACACAGCAGCCCAGCCCGTCCAGTTTCCCTCTCAGCCCGACCTCCAAAGCCAAACATTACTGCAGTGCCCCGCCCAGCGTGCCTCTCCCATTTTTGAGCATTTTTCAAACTTGGGCCAGGTGGAGTGGAGCTGAAAATAGTGGGGTGTAGTTACTCTTTAAATTATCAGAGGACATGATCCAAAGAAGTGACCGTGCCCTTTTTACAGTGGGCTTGAACACATTCTTGGTGATGAGCCCAGCTGTCAGTCAATGAAGCTTCATGATCACTCCTGTGATGCTGGCGAAGGTGAAACTGATCTGCATTTGTTGGCAGTCATGATTGTTTACCTCCAGAGGAGCGCGCTATGTGAAGCTATGTTCTTTTGCGCATGCAGGTGAGTTTAGGAGCTGATCTGTTCAGGCTAATGTCACATATAGGTCACATTTAAAAGATAGTGTGAACAGCCAAAAATTGGATTTAGTGAAAAATTCCGATTTAGGCCACTTTTACCCGCTGTGTGAATGTAGCCTAAGAGCATTGAAGTAAGTGTCTGGCTCTTTTTTTAAAAATGCATTCTTTATTAAAATGAGAACGAAACAAACAAACCAAAACTAATGACATTCGCACTGGAGCTGTGGTGTGTCTCAGAGCCTTGCTCAGCTCCCTGTCACAGGACCTCTTAAACCCAAACCTATTGGGTTTAAAATGAGTCGAATAGCTTAAGATACAAATGTTAAAAAAGCCAATGTGGTCTGAAGCAAAACTTATGCTAGTGTTCCGTTTTGTTTTAGGGAGCAAGGAGCAGACAGAAGCATCTCCAGTTCTAATAAATGAAAAAACGAAAAAATAAAATCAAAGTTTCTGTTTTTAAAGAACTGTAAAATAAATTTGATAAGAGTGGCATTGCATGATGCAGCGGTAAGGAGGGGGGGGCAGCGGTGCTGTGACACAAACAGGAAATCCACCATAGAGTAGACTGTCTCATTTCAGTTCAGCCTTCGCAGGTCTACGCAGCCTTTGAAGGACACGCCTTCATAGCCCACGTCCTTCAAAGGATGCAGCCCCTGAATTGGGCCAGAGTGTGAGCCCACGTCATGTGCTCAGGGCTAGGCTCATCCTCTCCACTGCCTTGACCGTGCACATGACCTGTGCTCTTCCCATGATTGCACACAGCTAGTGTGCAAGTAAGGATATCTCAGCTGATCTTCAGTCACGGCTGTTGGACAGGTTGTGTACATGCAGGCAATTTTCATTCAGCTGAATGAATCACCAAAAATGGTACTCCGTTAATCCCTTAAATGACCAGAGCCCAACAGCGGGCCCAAAGTTTTATGAAATTTTATTCAACCAGTTTACATTGAGGTCCCTATAGTTACTAATAATAAGCCTTACTATGTAATAATCCTGGGATTTTAAGGGATTATTTGTTCTGGTACGCTGTCCATGGAAAATGAAATTTTATGAAGTATTTTCTGTAAAAAGCTCCAGACAGTGCAGCAGCAATGACGGAACATAAAAATGGGGTTACTGCATGAATAAAAACTATAAACCTGAACATTATGGTGACGTGTTGTATATTGCATCAGCAAGAACTGGTGTCCAAAGAAATGGACCCAGAGGTCCATTCTGTTTTGAATAAAGTGATGGTGACAGTGAACTTGTGAAATCAAGAGCACTACAGATGAGGACAAACCTCACAAAAAGTACTGTTTTCCAACTCGGCCTGTGTGGCCAAACTAGCTTACCTGGCTGACATATTCAGCTTGCTGAGAGATGCATCTATACTGTAAATCAGCAACAAAATCAATGGCTTCATTAAAAGTAACTGAGCTTGTCTTAACTAAACAACTTAAAGACCACATCACAGCCATGTTCACCCACCTGACAGAGTTTCTCCACACAAGCAGCCTGACAGTAGATGTAGTGAGAGACGCTGCCTGAGTGCATCTTGTATAACAATATTTGAATTCAAATCTTATTTCTAAATGTGAGCCATGGAGGTCTGTAGATTTTTTCACACTTATTAATAGCAGATTCAAATCCATCGTTTTAATGGAGTAAACAGGCCTCCATACTAATGCCGTTCCGTCGTCCGAGGGACAATAAAAAGCGCACAGAAAGATGTTTCAACAGGTTTGGGATGCTACAGGGTGATAACCTTTTATGTGAGAACTAAAGAGTTAATGTCTGTAAAACATAATCATTAAATCATGAACACGGCAGCCGTCCACACCCACCCTACATACAGCAATGTTTAATCCAGACACTGTTTTTATTCACGTTATAAGTGGCATTTATCATGAAAGTTCTACCTCTACCATAATGCTAATTATGTTAGCCTGTCAATGATAATTCCTATGTAATATTAGCATTAAGCTAATGGCATGTGGCATGTTTTGGGCTCTAGTTTGATTGTATCACATACTTGCTGTAGTTGCTACAGCAGGAGTCACCAATCTTATCCACAAAGACTCAGTGTAGCTGCAGTGTTTCATTACAGTGAAATAGATTTATTTTAGATTTTTTTTGCTTTTTGCTACTGTTTGTCTTAAGAAGTAAACTTGTTATGATCAGTAGGATTGTTTTTTATTGTACATGCACACTGACCCCTTTCTGTCCGTGTGGTGAACATATTCTCATTTATGAACTGTCTTTTTATGAATGCAGTTTTATTGTCATTTCTTTTTTCATCAAAATCATTTACAATAAATAAAAAAGAAAATAAAAATTCATGCAGTAGCAAAACATATTTATATCTATTTATCTCTCTCTCTCTCTCTCTCTCTATATATATATATATATGTGTATATATATATATATATATATATATATATATATATATATGTACACATATATATATAAATATATATTAGATGAGTTAGTTTCTCCATCATGTCTAGTTAAACTTCATTTATTGTGTGATTTGCTGGATTGCCTTAAAGATTGCTTAAAAGATCCAGTGAAATGAGATAAAACACAAATTAACACAAAGTACACAAAGTAAAATAACATTAAACACAATAAAACAGAAAATGTTCTCAGATACACTGACTATCGTACTTTGACCTGTGTATAAATATCTTGATTCTCCTTGACTCTGGGGGCTCTGGAAGAAGGTTTCTGTGCAAATTTTACAGTCGCATAGTTCAAAACATCTGTATCCTCAACCTGACACAGAACAAGAGTCATTACAAACCAGCAGAGCTCAGAATAGAAGTAGCACAAAATGAATAACAGTATAACATACTGAACATTCAGATTTTATTATTATTATATGAAGATGTATTAATGTCACACTTTACCTCATGTTTTGAGTTTTCTTGGTGACCACTGACAGAACCTTTAGAGAAAAATCACATTTTAAAATGACTTTTAAATATTGTTAAGATTTTTGCATCTTTATTGCTGTACAAATTTATCAGCACCTGAAGAAATAATGTTTAAAAATCATCATTGCGCAGTGAGAATTTATTTTCTTAGATCAAAACCCTAATATTAGAATAAATACAAACAATCTCATCATTATAAGTAGTGAGTTTATGTTTAGAAGTGTTTTTTTGTTTAATAATTTCAAAAACTCTCTTTATTGCAGCCCAACACTTATATCATTACTGTAAATCAGGCGCGCTGGTTACGGCTTTAAACAAACCTGTATTATGATGGTCAGCATCGCAGAGAAATAAAGAACCAAACTTTGTTCTTCTAACTAGCTTTGAAGACATCAACTACTTTTTTAGAACAAAAAAAAATCCTGTCTTTTTACTGTGTTAATGTTCCTTTGAGTTTATTCTTATTCAGAATTGGACGTTTTGTCCAGATAAATGTTTTAAACAATTTGATCAGGTGGCCAAGACCTTTGCACAGTACTATATTTAATGTGAAAGGACAAATATATTAAAATAAATAGACTTATTAACATTTAATACTGACCTTTCTGTTGTTTCTTACATAAGAGTCCACCCAGAACCATGTTCACAATAACAGATATCACATTAGATGTTACCAAGGCAACAATCCAGCTGTTATTGTCTGAAAATTCCACAAACAAAACAATTGAAGAAAAAACACTAGAGATCATGTTTTGTTAGACAAGAGATTAAAGAGTCTTTAAACTACATATTTTATTTTTGAGTGAAATTAACTTGTAGAAGCTTTATTTACCTACTTTAGTAGATTTAGCTTCATCTCCACATGCAGCTACAGCACAGTAGTGAGTTCCAGCATCAGAGAGGCTGAGGTTTCTCTTGGGGAGTTTGTAGACACAGCTCTGTGTAGGAGAATCAGTCTCAGAGCTTTTCTTACACTCATCACTGGTATGTGGATGAATGTAGATGATTCCTGGATGAGATTCTCCTGATCCATGTCTGATCCAGTACAAACTGTGTTCTCCTGAACAGCTCAGAGTAACTGCTTGTACTGAACACTGGAGTTTAACAGGTTCTTCATTCTTGATAGCAGATTCAGGTGGAGGATGATGGTCAGTCTTCTCATCTTTAAAATAGATCAGTAGATGTAGAAGGTAAAGAGAAATGGTCCGGGTATCTTCTGTTCATTTGAGTTTCATTTAAAAACCAGTACTGAAAACGGCAAATCGGTCGGTTCTTGTTTCAGTTATTGTCATTGGAAAAATCAAGAAATAGCTTCGTTTTAATTTCATAAATTAATCATAAAATCAAGTAACAAAAAAACAGCAATGAAATAAAGGCTCGTGGTTCTGGTGTGTTGGTCGGCTATATTACTTTCTGTATAAGTGTTTGTAATGACCAGTACTGTAGCCTCTTGGTGAAGGAGACTCAGGAGAGGCTGTCATTCTGCTAGACAAGCGCTCTTTATTGACCTCTGCAGAAAAGGCTCATACAGGGCAGCCCGTTAGCACTGAAGGTCACCTCCGCTCCCTCTAACTAACTAAACACGCACCCAGGCGCGGTGCCAGGTGGTGCTGAAGCCCCCTCAAAATCGTTCAGCGCCCACGTTATCAACCCTGATAAATGTTGAATTCCCTTGTTTGATTCAGACCCCCGGCGCAGCTCTAACGCCCCTCTAAAGCTCCTTTCCTCCCCAAACCGGAGGCGCCGCCGCCGCATGATTAGAAGACCACTATGAACTCAGAGCAGCGCGCGTGGCGGGAGTCGTGTCGCATGTCAGCGCAGTTTGTTGCTAATAGAACAAAGTCAATAAACACATATAAAACGATATAAAGCCTCCCATAATGCCACATCTAGACTGACCTTCTCTCCACTCATGCTCGATCTTTCCCGGCCTCATCATTTTTAAACGCGACCACCTGATTTCTGAGCTCCTGCGATCATGGGGGGCACTCAGCCCGTTTATTCATCATTAATCTGAATCAGCAAATCGACCCTTTATTCCACTGCTGTTTGTTTGTTGTTTGAATGTTTGATTAGTTTGTGAAATTGTAAAATGAAGCTATTTCTAGTTTTTCGACTGACAATAAGAATCAAAAACGAGAATCGACCCATTTGCCGTTTTTCAATACTGGATTTTAAAATGAAAATCAGATGAACAGAAATAATGCTAATATCAATAAACAGTACAAAACAACAACAACAACAACAGCGAATGTGTGAACACAGTTACCTGCAAACAGCAAAAGGGTTCCAGATATAAACTCTACAGTATTTGTCTGTCCTTTTCCACAGAAATATATTCCTATATCTTCTTCTTTGACTCCATTAATGCTGAGATCAAACGTCTCTTTATCCACAGTGAAGCGGCTGTTTTTAAATGTGTTATATAATCTGTAGTTTACTGTTTCAGTCACAGATGTTCTCACGATGTACTGAGGCAGTTTTCCTAAACTCTGTTGATACCAAACTAATAAATCATCTTTGGCTGCTTTTTGGTCACATTTTATTGCCGTGTTGTCTCCCAGCCTCACTGTTTGTACTTGAAGATCAAGGATGTCAGCCGTTTTCACTGGAGAAAAAACAGTCATAATAAAGCAGTTATTTATAATAATATGCAAAGGTTTGTATGATCCTGATCAAATTACATGTTTTAATGCACACATTTTAATGCACAGTTACTGTTTGTTGCTGAATTTAACACACTGTAAAAAACATGACAACATATGTGGCTTATGCAAAAGTTATGTCACATTTTGTATTTTTTTTCCAATATATTAAACTCTTTTGTGCACTAAAAGTTGCAGAAAATGCCATATTTAAGTTTTTCCTTGTAGAGAATGTGTTACTTATTTTCATTTAGGAAATCAACAAAACATGTAATTTGACTGGAGATGTTCAAACTTTTACATGCGACTGTACATGTAGCAGCTTGATAACATGTTAGTGATATAAACATATTAACCATTCAAAACATCACTTACCAGTTACAAAGAGGCAAAGAGTGAAAAGTAATCCGATCATTGTTGCTGTTTAGACAGAGAGACAGTGAGATCTAATGTTCTGATCTCTTATCTGTTCAGTAGTAAAAGAGGCCTCATGTGTGACCTGAATGGACGTTTTAGAGCTGTGAGCTGTTTTGATTGGTCTGATAGTTTTGAGGAAATATCACATGGCGAGTGCTATTTCAGACCAGAAATAGTTTAACAGCTGATGGAAACAGCTTTGCTATTTAAAGAATGAAACTGAGGTTAAAGAGAATGAAGCAGAAAAGCCTTTTCTCATTTGAGTCTGTGATGATTCTGTATCTGATTACAATGTTATATAGATTTATACATTAAACATTACAGTTCAGATCTGAGGACCAGATGTACATATCTGTGCAGGAACAGCATCAGGGCCAGATATTCATGTTTCACATAGGGAGGATTTATACAGTTTGGGTGGGATACTACTTGTGAGCTTAACTATAAGTCTTACCTCGTCCCGTTCTTTTTGAAAGCTTTCTGAAAGTAGGACACCATATCTCTTTCATGAATTTAACCAGATGAACAAATTGTGAATTAGCCTGTTTGTTTTCTGCTATAAAGTAGGCGGTTTTGAGAAACCCCTTCGTTTCTTCTCACACTGCAACCGCACAACTTGAATAGCATTAGCCTTCACAGTCTTAGCTGAATGCTTTCTTTTTAAGGCTTTTCCAGTGTTTTGTCCAGAGCGGAAGTCGGTTTATTTGGTCAGCCGTCCCGAATTCCACACTGGTGCAAACGTTGGCTGAAAATTATTAAAATCATTGTAAATGTTTGCAGGAATTTCCTGCATTGTAAATGTTAGAGTTACGGGAATCACTGAAGTTATGAACAATACCTGAAATCCCGCACTGAAATTCAGGCCCTGAGCATGAAATGTGCCTTGACACAACTACAACATTCACCCACAATATACCCCCCGATGCTTATATACTGCTGGTTTTAAAAGGCAGAGAAGAGTATATATGAGCCACACATGTAATTTCTCCACCCACTGTTTATACAATCCTTCCTCATTTTATGTGATCTTGGCATGTTGTTTTCAAAAGTAGTCAGCAGTTTGCAGTATGTGACCAACATGAATTTCTTAGGTACTGGCCTAAAAATGTATTTATTTATTGTTCTGCTGCTGCACTCATTGCATTGCTTGCCGTGCTGATCTTGAGATGGTTTTGTTTACATCTATTATCAAGTTAATTTTCTTCATAGATAACATGGTTAAAACTGTAACTTACTTAAATTGTTCTCAAGATATAAAGAAGCTGAATAGTGACTAGCAGTGGCGCTGCAAGTACATTACACAACTTTTGTCTCATACTACAACTCTGTTTCCAAAAAAATTGCTGTGCAAAATGTAAATAAAAACTTTTATTGCAACAATATGCAAATCATTTAAAACCTATGTATAAATTAAAGTAGTACTAAAACAACATCAAATTTTGCAACTGAGAAATGTTATTGTGTTTAGAAAAATACATTCCCATTCTGAATTTGAGGCCAGCAACATGTTTCAAAAAAGTTGGGACAGAGCATGTTTACCACTGTGTCCCATCACCTCTTCTTTTAACAACATCTTCTAAGTGTTTGGGAACTGAGGAGGTGAATTACTGTAGTTTTGATAGTGAAATGTTTTCCCATCCTTGCTTGAAATAGGATTTCAGCTGCTGAACAGTTCAGACTCTCCTTTGTCAAATTTTTTGTTTCATAATGTGTAAAATATTTTCAATGGGTGACAGGTCTGGACTGCAGGCAGGCCAGTTCAGCAAAAGATTACTACAGAGCCATCCTGTTGAAACATATGCATAATGTGGTTTGACTTGCTGAAGTAAGTAAGCCCTTCCCTGAAAAAGCAATGTATGCTGTCTGTATGACCTGTATATATAATTCAGCATTAATGATGCCTTCACAGGTGCAATTCATCCTTGCTATGTGCACTAATGCTTCCCCATACCATCCCGGATGCTTTTGAACTGTGCATTTATAACAAGCTGGAGGGTCCCTGTCCTCTTTAGTCCAGAGGACGTGGCATCCATGAAAGGCAGCAGAGTTTTTGGAACCTGTTTATGTATGATTGTGTTCCTGAGCCCATTCAGTGACTTCCAGTGCAGCAGTGTCTCTTGCATAGAGCGATTTCTGTAGATTCTTTAATTTTTTTTTTGATACTATGTTGGTAGATGATAAAAGTTTTTTGCTATTTTACATTGAGCAATGTTATTCTTGAATCATTGCTTTATTTCTCTGCACAGTTTTTCACAGAGTAGAGAACCCCTCCCCATCTATAATTCTGAAAGACTCAGCCTCTCTGTGATGCTCTTTTTTATACCCAGTCATGTTACTGACCTGTTGCCAATTAACCTAATTAGTTATGAGATGTTCTAGCGAGGGCTGGGAGGCAACATGTGGATTGGGGCTCCATGGTGCAGGACTCCAGGGCTTCAGCTACCTGTGGACAGAGGCAGGGGTTCACCATCCCCCAGATCCTCTGGGAAAACACTGCCTTTGCTCCCAGAGCAAGGAGCCCACAGCTCCACCCCGCGTGTGTCCTGGGGCTTGCCTCTGCAAACCCATACAGCAAGTATAGACTAAGTGGGTCTAATGCTGCATTCACACAGCAGGTAAAAGTGGCCCAGATATGATCTTTTTTATATGTGACACACGTTGTATCTGTGTGGCAGTGTGAACAGCAAAATACACTTAAAATCTGACATTTTCAAAATTTCCATTATGCAGCAACGTGACTCACGCTACATCTACACTGCTCCAGCCCCTCAACGCACCGCAACATATTGCATTCGTGGGTTTCATCAGACACAGCCACATGTTACATGACAGGTTCGGCAGGTCGAGTCTCAGGGGACAGCTGGTGTTTGTGTGATTCATATCTGCAGCTCAAACATTGATTTCGCTTCTCAAAGGTTCCCATGCAACAAGATATACCAGCAGCAAAAGTTAATATATTTAAATATAAATAGCTAAATATATTTAAAAACAACTGTTTACCTCCAAAATTTAAAATCAGACTGAGAAAATGATCGGTTGGATGATAATAAACCAAAATGACTGATGTTGCCCAGGAGGATAATCAATGACCTGAATCCTAATCTTTCCAATTTAACTTTATTAAGGTTCTGGAAAAAAATATCAGCTTAATGATGAATAGTATGTCGACTTTCTGATTATTCAAAACAAGAGAAGCATTACTTACATTAATATTGACTTAGCAAGACTACATTTCAATTAGATTTCGCAAGGAACTCCCTCGTAACACCCACATGCAACTAACTAAAGGGTCCGTCGAAGCACTGGAGCAGTGTAAATGCAGTGAAAGACTAGCCAGCCAGATTGGAATTCATGCGACTTTTACATCCATCCAACCCTTCTCATAATCTTGTGCTGCTGAGACCTCAAAAAAATTCAAAAATTAAATGTTTCTGTACAAAAAGATTAGAAAAGCCTTACATGTTCAAAGACATTTTGAAAGAAATGGCTGAATGTGGCCATGAGAGAAAAGGAGTATTTGTGTTTAAAGAGTAACTACAAACTAAGACATTTTTTCATTCACAGCTATAATGCATTGCCCTGTAATACTAAAATATACCAGCCTTGCTTGAAATGTGAACACATCTTTACAAACTGTAAAAATAACATTTTTATCGTGGTCAGTTCGGCCTCTGAAGGACCGATTAAGTGAGGATTCTTGCTCTCCATAAAGCTGCCGGTGTTGCATCCAATTCACGTTTCCCTTCACAAATCAAAGTCTTGGGCGTGTGCACTCACTGAATCTTTTCACTTTCCGTAGTTCCACTGTTGCTTGCCGTTGATTTCTGTTCAGTGAGTGTTCACACCTGAGGGTTTGATTTATGAAGGTGAATGTGAATTTGAGAGTGAATTGAATGGATGTAACACCAGTAAGTGCCATAAACAGCTTGCAGAACATAAAGATTTAGGGCCACTGCAGCACACCCTGTCTGACCGGTGATGCAGTCTGCAACCCCATCCTGGTCACATCTGTGAACAACCTGTTTGGTACGATACAATCTCCCTGTTATACTTCTGTGCTTGGAATCTAACAGACAGAATGCTAAAAGCTATGTTGTGATGCTGGTAATGCTAGAGAAGAGCTAGCATAAGTTAACTAGGTTAGGCTACAAAGATTGGGTTAGCTTTTTTCTGCATTAAGTTAACTTTCAACATACCTCGGCCACCACCCTACTGCACGTTCTCAACAAGTGAGAGATTTGTACAGTGCCCACAAGTGCATGTGTATGGAAGGCTACAGTAATCTAATGGCCTCATAGCTTGTTTAAAGAACTTTATTTATTCAGAATTCAGTACGTGTAAGAAGTCAGGACTTGGGTTGTCTCAAATATGGACCGGCTGAACAGATCATTCTAAGTTAGCTGTCAAGGTTTTAGGGAATGTTCTACCATTCAGACGCCTCTCCCGCTCGCTGCTCATCATTTTCTGGAGTTAACTCTTCAGCAGCTTGAGTCAGTGGCTCAAACGGGTAAAGCTCAAGACACACTGTCTGATCAGAAACACCTTCCCTCATTGAAGAAGAGGATGGTAGTGAAGAAAAAGCTTCTCATTAGAACTCGAAGTTGCAAAAGTTTGATTTTGTTACTCTCCATATTTTTCAACAGCGTCAACCTTTCTCATGGTAGCTAACGCTAGCCATAAAAACACAGCAGCCCAGCCTGTCCGGTTTCCCTCTCAGCCCCACCTCCAAAGCCAAACATTACTGCAGTGCCCCGCCCAGCGTGCCTCTCCCATTTTTGAGCATTTTTCAAACTTGGGCCAGGTGGAGTGGAGCTGAAAATAGTGGGGTGTAGTTACTCTTTAAATTATCAGAGGACATGATCCAAAGAAGTGACCGTGCCCTTTGTACAGTGGGCTTGAACACATTCTTGGTGATGAGCCCAGCTGTCAGTCAATGAAGCTTCATGATCGCTCCTGTGATGCTGGTGAAGGTGAAACTGATCTGCATTTGTTGGCAGTCATGATTGTTTACCTCCAGAGGAGCGCGCTATGTGAAGCTATGTTCTTTTGCACATGCAGGTCAGTTTAGGAGCTGATCTGTTCAGGCTAATGTCACATATAGGTCACACATTTAACAGATATGGTGAATGGCCAAAAATCAGATTTGGTGAAAAATTCTGATTTAGGCAACTTTTACCTGCTGGGTGAACGTAGCCTAAGAGCATTGAAGTAAGTGGCTGACTCCTTTGTTTTTTCTTTTTTTCCCTCTTGGCATTTCCTTTCTTTATTAAAATGAAAACAAAACAAATGAAACAAAACTAATGGCATTCGCACTGGAGCTGCGGCGTGTCTAGCTCAGCTCCCCATCACAGGACCTGTCCAGAAAGGGGCATTTCCTGCATCCTCCACCAATATGGCGCAGCCAGGGGAGGGGCCGACACATACTGACTAGGAAACCTTATAAGAGTACAGAAAGACACACACAAACAACAGCACGAGTTAACAAAAGTGATTTATTTACACATCAGCATGAAACAAACACCAAACAAAACCAAATGGCTTGCTCTCTTTCTCCTGGCATGTGGAATGCAGGTCAGCGTCCTCATCTCTCCTTGCTGGAGAGAGAGAGACAGTTAAGGACTGTAGCTACATTCCAGTTCAGGGGCTGCGTCCTTTGGAGGCTGCATTTGAAGGCCGATTGCGCCACAGCGGCGTGACTAGGTTGTCCCATTTTGAAGGCTCCCTCATGTGTGGCTGAGAAATGTGTCCTTCTTTTCCATGGCAATGAAAGATCCAATGGGTGGATTCTTCGCCAGCCAACAGATCCCAAGATTCATTGCGTGCCGGTGACGATTTGAGAACATGGCAACGTCAACAGAGGAGCGACCAGCGGCTGAGGAGACACTTTTAAATGTATGTATTGGGTTTAAACTGAGTCGAATAGCTTACGATACAAATGTAAAAAAAAAAACAGTGTAGTCTCTCTGTTGAGTAGACAGAGAGAAGCATCTCCAGCTCAAAAAATCAAAGTTTCTTTCTTTAAAGAACTGTAAAATAACTTGACAAGAGTGGCATTGCATGATGCACCGGTAAGGGCAGGAACAGCGGTGCTGTGACACAAACAGAAAATCCACCATAGAGTAGACTGTCTCATTTCAGTTCAGCCTTCGCAGGTCATTGCAGCCTTTGAAGGACACGTCTTCGTAGACCGCATCCTTCGAAGGATGCAGCCCCTGAATTGGGACACAGTGTGTGTTTCTACTTTGATTCAGCGCAGCTGTGCACGTTCAGAAGAGGAGCACACATCATGTGCTGAGGGCTAGGCTCATCCTCTCCACCTCCTTCACTGTGCACATGACGTGTGTTCCTTCCATGATTGCACACAGGATATCTCAGCTGATCTTCAGTCATGGCTGTTGGACAGGTTGTGTACATGCAGGCAGTTTTCATTCAGCTGAATAAATCAACAAACAGTGCTACTCTGTTAACGACCCCCAAACGACCAGAGGTTTTATTAAACACTTCTATAACCTAAGAATAGCTCAACCCGTTTGCATTGAGGTCCCTAAAGTATTAAATAATAAACCTTATTATGTAATAAGTCTGGGATTTTAAGGGATTATTTGTTCTGGTACGCTGTCCATGGAAAATGAAATTTTGTGAAGTATTTTCAGTGAAAAATCTCCCTGTCAGACAGTGCAGCAGCAATGACGGAACATAAAAGTGGAGTTACTGCATGAATTAAAGCTATAAACCCGAACATTACGGTGACACATTGTATATTACATCAGCAAGTACTGATGTCCAAAGAAATGGACCCAGAGGTCCATTTTGTTTTGAATGCAGTGATGGTGACAGTGAACTTTGTGAAATAAAGAGCACTACAGATAAGGACAAACCTGAAAACAGTGCTGTTTTCCAACTCGGCCTATGTAGCCAAACTAGCTTACCTGGCTGACATATTCAACTTGCTGAGAGATGCATCTATACTGAAAGTCAGCAACAAAATTAATGGCTTCATTAAGCTAACTGAGCTTATCTTGACTAAACTAAAAGACGACATTACAGACATTACATTATGTTCACCCACCTGACAGAGTTTCTCCACACAAGCAGCCTGACAGTAGATGTAGTGAGAGACGCTGCCTGAGCGCATCTTGCATGACATTTCAATCTTTGAATTCAAATCTTATTTCTAAATGTGAGCCATGGAGGTCTGTAGATGTTTTCACACTTATTAATAGCAGATTCAAATACATGCTGTTTTAGTGGAGCAAACAGGCCTCCATACTAAAGCCGTCCCGTCGTCCCAGGGACAATAAAAAAGTGCACAGAAAGATGTTTCAACAGGTTTGGGATGCTACAGGGTGATAACCTTTTATGCGAGAACTAAAGAGTTCATGTCTGTAAAACATAATCATTAAATCATGAACATGGCAGCCGTCCACACCCACCCTACATACAGCAATGTTTAATCCAGACACTGTTTTTATTCACATTATAAGAGACATTTATCATGAAAGTTCTACCACTACCATAATGCTAATTATGTTAGCCTGTCAATGGTAATTCCTATGTAATATTAGCATTAAGCTAATGGCATGTGGCATGTTTTGGGCTTTGGTATGATTGTATCACATACTTGCTGTATTCGTTACAGCAGGAGTCACCAGTGTTATCCACAAAGACTCAGTGTAGCTGCAGTGTTTCATTACAGTGAAATAGATCAGTAGGATCAGCCTTTCTGTCTGGGTAGTGAACATATTCTCATTTAAGAACAGTCTTTTTATGAATGCAATTTTATTGTCATTTCTTTTTTCATCAAAAATATGTACAATAAGTAAGAAAGAAAATAAAATCTCATATAGGCAGCAAAACATATCTATATCTATATATATATATGTATATCTATGTCTGTCTATCTATATAGATATATTAGATAGATTAGTTTCTCCATCATGTCTGGTTACACTTCATTTGTTGTGTGATTTGCTGGATTGGCTCTTCTGTTTAAAAGATCCAGTGAAATGAGATAAAACACAAGTTAACACAAAGTACACAAAGTAAAATAACATTAAACACAATAAAACAGAAAATGTTCTCAGATACACTGACTATCGTACTTTGACCTGTGAATAAATATCTTGACTCTTCTTGACTCTGGGGGCTCTGGAAGGAGGTTTCTGTGCAAATTTCACAGTTGCATAGTTCAAAACATCTGTATCCTCAACCTGACACAGAACAAGAGTCATTACAAACCAGCAGAGCTCAGAATAGAAGTAGCATAAAATTAATAACAGTATAACATACTGAACATTCTGATTTTATTATTATTGTATGAAGAGGTGTTAATGTCACATTTGCACTTTACCTCATGTTTTGAGTTTCCTTGGTGACCACTGACAGAACCTGTAGAGAAAAATCACAAAATTTTAAAATGACTTTTTGAATATTGATAAGATTTTGCATCTTTAATACTGTACAACAGTTTTCAGCACCTGAAGAAATTATATTCATCATTGTGCAGTGAGCTTTTATTTTTTCCGATCAAAACACTAATATTAGAACAAATACAAACAATATCAACAGTATAAGTAGTGAGTTCATGTTTAGAATTGTTTTCTGTTTAATAATTTCAAAAACTCTCTTTGTTGCAGCCCAACTCTTATATCATTACTGTAAATCAGGCGCGCTGGTGACGCCTTTAAACAAACCTGTATTATGATGGTCGGCATCACAGAGAAATCAGGAACCAAACTTTGTTCCTCTAACTAGCTTTGAGGACATCAACTACTTTTTTAGAATTGAAAAATTCTGGTGTCTTTTTACTCTGTTGATATTTCTTTGAATTTATTCTTGTTCAGAATTAGATGTTTTGTCCAGATAAATGTGTTAAACAATTTGCTCAAGTGCCAAAGACTTTTGCACAGTACTATATTTAGTATGAAATAATATTTATATAAAAATAAATACACTTATTAACATGTAACACTGACCTTTCTGTTGTTTTTTACATAAAAGTCCACCCAGAACCGTGATCACAATAACAGATATCACATTAGATGTTACCAAGGCAACAATCCAGCTGGTATTGTCTGAAAATTCCACAAACAAAACAGTTGAAGACAAACCACTAGAGATCATGTTTTGTTAGACAAGAGATTAAAGAGTCTTTAAACTACGTATTTTATTTTTGAGTGAAATTAACTTGTAGAAGCTTTATTTACCTTTTCCATTAGATTTAGCTTCATCTCCACATTCAGCCACAGCACAGTAGTGAGTTCCAGCATCAGAGAGGCTGAGGTTTCTCTTGGGGAGTTTGTAGACACAGCTCTGTGTAGGAGAATCAGTCTCAGAGCTTTTCTCACACTCATCTCTGGTGTGTGGATGAATGTAGATGATTCCTGGATGAGATTCTCCTGATCCATGTCTGATCCAGTACACACTGTGTTCTCCTGAACAGTTCAGAGTAACTGCTTGTACTGAACACTGGAGTTTAACAGGTTCTTCATTCTTGATAGCAGATTCAGGTGGAGGATGATGGTCAGTCTTCTCATCTTTAAAATAGATCAGTAAATGTAGAAGGTAAAGAGAAATGGTCCGGGTAACTTCTGTTCATTTGAGTTTAATTAAAAAAAAAAAAAAACAGTATTGAAAAACTGCAAATGGGTCGATTCTCGTTTCAGTTATTGTCAGTGGAAAAATCAAGAAATAGCTTCGTTTTACAATTTCAAATTAATCATAAAATCAAATAACAAACAAACAGCAGTGGAATAAAGGCTCGTGGTTCTGGTTTGTTGGTCGGCTCTATTACTTTATGTGTAAGTGTTTGTATATTTGACCTCCACAAACTGTATAAGAAAGAAACGATATAGGGAAGAACCTGAACTCCCACCATTTGACGGGGGGCTTCGTGCCCTCAGATCAGCTGCTGACGCGCTCAAGTTCAAGAAGTGTTCTGTCGGTGTTGTGCTGAACTCCTCCTATGCGTGCGCGCGCTTCGTACAGGCGTATGGACACTAGATTACATTCTGTCTTTCAGTCATAATGACCAGTACTGTAGCCTCTTGGTGAAGGAGACTCAGGCGAGGCTGTCATTCTGCTAGAGAAGCGCTCTTTATTGACCCCTGCAGAAAAGGCTCATACAGGGCAGCCCGTTAGCACTGAAGGTCACCTCCGCTCCCTCCAACTAACTAAACACGCACCCAGGCGCGGTGCCAGGTGGTGCTGACGCCCCCTCAAAATCGTTCAGCGCCCACTTTATCAACCCTGATAAATGTAGAATTCCCCTGTTTGATTCAGACCCCCGGCGCAGCTCTAACGCCCCTCTAAAGCTCCTTTTCCCCCAAAACCGGAGGCGCCGCCGCCGCAAGATTAGAAGACCACTATGAACTCAGAGCAGCGCGCGTGGCGTGAGTCGTGTCGCATGTCAGCGCAGTTTGTTGCTAATAGAACAAAGTCAATAAACACATATAAAACGATATAAAGCCTCCCATAATGCCACATCTAGACTGACCTTCTCACCACTCATGCTCGATCTTTCCCGGCCTCATCATTTTTAAACGCGACCACCTGATTTCTGAGCTCCTGCGATCATGGGGGGCACTCAGCCCGTTTATTCATCATTAATCTGAATCAGTAAATCGACCCTTTATTCCACTGCTGTTTGTTTGTTGTTTGAATGTTTGATTAGTTTGTGAAATTGTAAAATGAAGCTATTTCTAGTTTTTCGACTGACAATAAGAATCAAAAACGAGAATCGACCCATTTGCCGTTTTTCAATATTGGACTTTGAAATGAAAATCAAATGAACAGAAATAATGCTGATATCAATAAACAGTACAAAACAACAACAACAACAACAACAATTACAGCGAATGTGTGAACACAGTTACCTGCAAACAGCAAAAGGGTTCCAGATATAAACTCTACAGTATTTGTCTGTCCTTTTCCACAGAAATATATTCCTATATCTTCTTCTTTGACTCCATTAATGCTGAGATCAAACGTCTCTTTATTTACAGCGAAGTAGTCTTTAAATGTGTTATCAAATCTGTGCTTTACTTCTGTTTTAGATTCTTGACGAGATTTTTCAGTCACAAATGTTCTCACGATGTACTGAGGCAGTTTTCCTAAACTCTGTTGATACCAAACTAATGAATCATTTTTGTTTGTTATTCGGTCACATTTTATTGTCGTGTTGTCTCCTCGCCTCACTGTTTGTACTTGAAGATCAAGGATGTCAGCCGTTTTCACTGGAGAAAACAAAGTCATAATAAAGCAGTTATTTATAATAATATGCAAGAGTTTGTATGATCCTGATCAAATTACATGTTTTTAATGCACACATTTTAATGCACAATTACTGTTTATTGCTGAATTTAACATATTGTAAAAAACATGACAACATATGTGGCTTATGCAAAATTTCTTTAATATTTTGTATGTTTTTTTTTCAATATATTAAACTTCTTCATGCATGAAAATTTGCAGAAAAATGCCATATTTAAGTTTTTCCTTGTAGAGAATGTGTTACTTATTTTCAGTTAGGAAATCAACAAAACATGTAATTTGACTGGAGGTGTTCAAACCTTCACATCCGACTGTACATGTAGCAGCTTGATAACATGTTAGTGATATAAACATATTAACCATTCAAAACATCACTTACCAGTTACAAAGAGGCAAAGAGTGAAAAGTAATCCGATCATTGTTGCTGTTTAGACAGAGAGACAGTGAGATCTAATGTTCTGATCTCTTATCTGTTCAGTAGTAAAAGAGGCCTCATGTGTGACCTGAATGGACGTTTTAGAGCTGTGAGCTGTTTTGATTGGTCTGATAGTTTTGAGGAAATATCACGTGGCGAGTGCTATTTCAGACCAGAAATAGTTTAACAGCTGATGGAAACAGCTTTGCTATTTAAAGAATGAAACTGAGGTTAAAGAGAATGAAGCAGAAAAGCCTTTTCTTATTTGAGTCTGTGATGATTCTGTATCTGATTAGAATGTTATATAGATTTATACATTAAACATTACAGTTCAGATCTGAGGACAAGATGTACAAACAAGTGCAGGTGCAGTATGAAATGTGCCTTAATGTGACTAAAACATTCACCCACAATATGCCTGAATTTAATGTTCAGTTTACTAAGACTGCAGTACATAAACTGCACATTTCCTCATCCAGTAACTGCTCACTTGTGAGGCTCAGAGATTAAAATGCACAGTAAACTAAAGGAGCCATCAACAAGAGAAAATGAAAGTTTATTGCTGAAGAGAGAGCAGTGATAATGAATCATTTTCCCCACATAAACATGTAATTCTACTGTAAACTCTGTGCTGTAATAGATTTTGAAAATAGAAAATATAAGGAGACTGCTGAAGATGACAGTCATAGACCAGGCAGATCTGTGACTTATTTTTGGGATTTTGGTTTCTTAGAGGCACAGTATACGATTCTGGAGAACAACTGTTGATATTTGAGCTAAACAGCAAAACTAATACAACCCTCCCTTCAGTGCTCCTTCAGAAGCTCTGCCCCTCAAATTCATGGACACACATTGTGAGGGTTGTCAAGGTTTGTCAGGGTTAACGACTCTGGGCTGCCAGATTTGTTTTGTTAGATCTTTGTGGTCATGAACCCTTCGCAAACTTTGCAGGGACAAATACCATGATATAACATGATATGATATACAATACATGATATAACAATAAGTAAACGACACAGCAGTACTGTAATGTTAGCTAGGTTGTGGGTTAGCAAACTCTTGCCACAATTGCTGCTGCAAAGCTAGCCAGTTGCTATCACAAACATTAGCAAATGGAACAAAACAATACTGACCTATTGGTTCTGTGAAACAGCAGAAGTAACTTAGTTCTGTCAAGCAGAAACAGAGAAACCTCCTCATCCTTTTTATGCCTTTGAATTGAAGTCAGATTTCTATTTGCCAGCTTCCTGTTCAGATTGTCCCCATCCCACCTTAAATGGTGCAGCAGTTACATTCCGGTGTCTCAGCTTCTTGTTCAGCGGTGCAGAGACATCAGAAAGTTGACGAGGCTGAAGTTGGCTTCCTATTCGCCTTTTCCAGTTTCACCTTAAATCATGCAGAATCTTGTTTTATGTTTGAGGCCTTTTTTCAGCAGGAGGTATGTTTCACTCTCCCAAATAAAGATACAGAACAGTCACTGGGGTGGGACCCCTCTTGTCACTAGGATGGTTTTCTATGTTGCACTGAATCCACACAGCCCACCTCATCTCCAAGCTTTTAATTTCATTGTTCTGTTTTGGGTCATTGGGTTTTTATTATGTACTTTTCACCCGGAAAAACTATTTAAGGCACACAATTAGACCTTAAACCACTGTTGTACGTTTGAAAGTACATTTACATTGTTTGTACCTTGATGAATGAAAAATGTACCTGTACAGAACCTTTATTTCTAACAGTGTCGGAAGGTCACTTTACCTCAACGCTTCTTAGTGCACTCTGCCATCTTGCATGCACAATGCAAAATACATGGTGTTTTTGATGAGCAAAACAAGTCATGTATTAGCACAGCAATATATTGTCTATCTGTGTCTCATGCTTAATATGTAAGACATACTGCTTCGTGTCATTAACTGTAGTAAGACTCTCACTTAAACACAAACACACACACACACACACACACACACACACATTCTTTAGTTATAAGAATGTGAGTTATGTGAATATGCTGTTGTAGTTTCTAAACTGAAGGATAGTTTTGATGAGTTTGTGTTTTATGTGAAATGTAGAAATTTACAAAAAATTAGAAATAGTACACAGCACTTAAAGTATTTTTCTATTTAATAGGAAATAATAAAAAAGTCAACATTGGCTAGTTCAGGAGAACAGTGCTCAGCAGAACAGCATTTCTCAGGCTTCTTAAGTCGCCACCATCCAAAGAGCCAAAGATCTTTCCAAACTCATTCTGAATGAAGTGATATGTCTGCTTTTTTGTATGTTTTGCAGTATAGTTAACTAAATACACACTATTAATACATATAAGTTTGTAAAGTTAACTGCTACACACTGAGTTGAAGCAAAGTCTCTGACACAGCGTGCAGGAGTGTTTCGACAAGCAAAAACTAGCTTGTTTAAAGAGGCTACTACAGCCTACAAAAGGTGTAGAATTGGAATGTATTCCTGCTTCTAGCTAGCATAAAAGTTACACCTCATCTAAGAGAAAATTCAGCTTATGGCCGTTGGTACAATGGTCTTAAAGTTATGCTCAGAAATTTGTGACCAACTCAGCTTATGACCAGGTCTTTGTTCAGCCCTGACAAAACACAGCTTTTGACGTCTTCATTTGTTGTGTTCACCAGGCTGCAGCAGCCACATTTGAAGAGGACTTTATTAGAATCCATTGTGTGCACTGCCATTTTAATATGGCAGGGTTTATATACATATCGCTACTGATTGGGTAACACCTCTGACACACCCATCAAATGAGAGAAAATGTTCCTCAAAGCCTGTTGTGCACTTTTTCACACCATTTCGATGGAACATGTCGTTCAACCCAGAAACTGTAGCAAAACGGTGCACAATGTTTTGAGACTGAATGTGCCCCAGGTGTAAGCACTGTTTCTGCAGACCCTGCTGTCTCCACACCTGTGTCACACGTAGCTGATTCGTCAGTGTCCCAGTGTTCCTGTTACCAGGGGCCTTATACCCGACTTTGTATTCACTACGTAATGATTCACTACCCGCGGTACTAACTGGGTAGTTGTTACATTTTAGTGTTTGAACAGAAACCATGGGTCACAGCTAACACTGATATCAAGACAGATACCTTAGAGAAGGGTGTCCACTCTGTTCCACAAATGGGTGGGTGTGGCTGCTGGTTTCCATTCCAACAAAGCAGGAGTTCACATGATCAGTTAGTTCCTCTTGGCAACCAATTTCTTGGTGACCCACTTATTAATATTGTGGAAGGTTTCTCCAAAGAACTCAAACATGTTGAAGATCTGGGGCTGTATAACAAAAACTTCTTAAGTCTGAAATCTTATCTGTTTAGTCACCATGACAAACTTCAGTTTGGACTGAATTTAAGACAGAGACTATTACAGAACAACATTTCTTAAATTCATAATCTTATCCTAACTGCAGATAAGAAAACAGTACTACAGAAACATCCTAACTAAACAAAATTTCCTAAATTCTGTCCTAACTTTAGGACCCCAGAGGTGTCTTACTTTCTGTTTTAACCGTCTGTTTCTATTGTTTTATGCAGTGAGGCAGAACAGTTCACTATAACCAGCATAATAACGTTACATTTATCTAAACTGAAAATGATGCTTTGACTTGAAATCCCAGACACTGCAGACACACAGATTACCTTTGTGTGTTAATACTGATGAAAACTCACAATATTCTTAACTTCTAGTTTATTATGCTTTAGTTTTGTTTTTTACATCAGTAACAGTAGCTAACCGTCTGGCTAACTGACTTGATTACTTTGGAACGTTTCAGCTCTGCACGTATGGTTGGTTGCTAGGTAACAGATATGACATTGTTGACCTTGATTGAGTTGGTCAAGATTCCTTTTGAGATCAGATGCTGTAAGATAAGATTCCTAGATTAAGGCTCACTTTGTTCACTCTAGGCTCCCTGAAGCTTGTTACAAACACACACACAGAACCTAGCTCCACCCTTCAAAATAAGAGTCCACAGTAGAATAAGCCCTGTGAATGTATGCAGCAGAACAACTCAAAATTAACATGAACACATTCCTGTTTAAACCAAATGAAACACTCACCATTATTATTTTTAACCAAACAGAACTAGATGTGCTCTAACACCACAGTATGATCCAAGGCAACTGCAATAGTAAGACAAAGTGTAACAATAAGTCAGTAAAATAAAAGCTTATTAGATTTAAGCTTATTTGGTTATTTACTGTGGTAAATGATGCAGGTGAATAAGGGCATTTGTTTAAATTGTCCTATTAATGACCAGAGCTGTAATTTTCCATTTCCTTTGGTCCAGGTGCTCTCAGAGCCGGAGCACAAATCTGAATAATTTCATTAGCCATATTAGCCTTACGTTACTGATCATGTAAGATGAACCAAAAACGGCTCTTTATTGAACAGGCAGAAAGGCACATATACAATTTTTAATCTGCAGGGGAGGTCACCACCTGTAGAATATCACACTGTAGCCCTTTTGTAATCATGTACAATATCAGTCACTCTACCTCATTCATCATTGGTCAGTTTCTGTCTCATCCACAAAGGGCTGGTGTGCTTAAGGCTGCAAAACAGAAGCGCACTTAATTTCACTTGTTTAATCAGCTGGACTGTATTTCTGTGATGATCAATATGATTGTTTTTATACTAAATCCATTTATATTTATATTCTCATTTAAGAACAGCCTTTATTTATAAATGCAATTTTATTGTCCTTTTTTAAAATACTGTGTATTAAATAAGAAAAGTAAATAAGTAAATAAGTAAATAAGAAAAAACCTACAATCAAAAAAACCCAACAAGCAACAACAAAAAGCTGCACTGTATTGTATCTGCTTATATGATTAGATGGTTTGACTAACTTGACTTACAGAAATACAAGTCTCTCTTGTTGTGTGATTTGCTAGATAAACATTATTGACTTCTGTTTGAAAGGTACAGTAAAATGATTTTTTCTGTAAATTAAGGTGATGACAATGAATTGAGATGACAAACATAGTAAAACAGAAAATGTTCTCAGTTACATTGACTATTGTACTTTAACCTGTGTATAAATAT